AAAGGTCACTGCTCATTCAAGGTCAGTGACCTTGTGTGATCTTTTGGAGGTCATGGTGATCAAAATCATACAAGACTGCTCTGAGTTTTGCATTTGAATAGGCGACAAAGATTACGCTAGGCAGTATGTTTCTAAAAACGAAATGTTTCGAAATGTTTCTAATGTTTCTAATGTTTTTAAGTGTTTCTAATGTTTCAAATGTTTCTAAAAACAAAACAAAAAACCTGGGTCATTTTTGGTCAGTGACCTATTGTGACCTGTAAGAAGTCCGTGGTAGATGCATGATGTGGTTCTTGCCATCAATAAATTGGAAGTGAGCACCAGAAAGTATCCCGTACAGCAAGCCCCAGAGTAATAAAACAGATTGGTTTTGACCTTGGTCTGACCCCCATACCTGACCTCAGGTCAATGTTATTTGCTTATTCACTAGTAGTGCTGCCTAAGAAAGCGTCTCAGAGATGTATGGCGTAGTCTAACACTGCTTTGTTGCATCAGATTGAACGACTCCCTAGAAATTGACTTCGCTGAAACCATGGCCTGACTTTGACCTTCTATAAGTCAGCGACATTGCAAGGGACATCTAAATTGTGATACCAAACGATCCGCTATTCAGTTGTCTACAGCTATGCAAAATTTGGCGCGGCTACACCGTGCCGTTCGCAAACCACTCTGAAAAACCTTCGGGGGTCAATTGGATCCCCACCCGAGCACATGTCATATCACCAGCTGTCTGCCGGTGACCCAGTTACGCCAGCAGGCGTCACTGTGACCCCAGCGAACTCGGACTGACGGCACACACGTGCGACAGATCCCATGTTGCCATCGAAGGGTGTCGGCGTGTTCCTCCTACGCTCAGGAGCTCCAGGCCACGCTGCCTTCCCTTTTATAGAGCCTCGGCGGCTTCGGCGTCGTCCACATGTCCCCATTTAGACTCCTGTGATCCCAGCATGACCCTTGCGACCTGATAGTAACCCTACGGACTTGGCTCGACTTATGGTGTCGGAGCGATCTTCCGCTGATCCCAGCGTGACCCCCTGAGACCTGTAGTGACCTCGCGGTTGGGCTGGCGCGCAGGAGATCCAGACGACGCTGGCACGCCGGCGGGAGAGCGCAGCGGAGGCGGCACAGGAGACTGCCGGCGCCGAAGCAGCGCGCCGCTCGGCCGGCGACACCAACTCCGGTCTCAGCGCCGCGCTCAGCAACCTCATCGTCATGGCCGGCTTCGTGCTGTTCGCCGGCATCGTTCACTACGTGGTCACGCAGGACTTGTAGGGCGCCGCCGCGCGGGGCGCGACGTGCGAGAGCGGGGCGTCAGCTCCCTGGCGGTGCCGGGCTGAACCAGCAGCTGCCGACCGGCGGCGCCCCCGACCGCGGCCTGACGTGGCTCGGAGGCTGTGGCGCCGCCTGACTGTTGGTCAGGGAGCCCCCGCCCGGCATGGGCAGAGCCAAGGCGATAGGGTCGACAGGTGGCATGCGACTTAGGACGAACGGACGGGCGGCGGCGGCGCTCGTGCGGCTGTTTTGGTGCTGCGGTACCGCGGCGTGGGGGAGACGCCGGCGCGTTCAGTCGCTGGCCTATCGTAGCAGGTTTAAACTTCTTGAAGTGGGGTGGCGGCTGTTGAAATCGGTCGCATTTATCTGTGACCTAGTGTTTTTTGTGACCTCGCTTTGGGCGTAGCGGGATGTGATTTTTTCGAGGTCGGATGGAAGCCGGGCGCCTCCGCCGGCGTGCCGACAGGACCTCTCGCGGCCGTGCGTATCAGCCGCTGTGCGCACAGTTGGCGCGGTCGCTCCGTCGGAATGGTGATCACGATACGCAGCAATGCCAAAATATGCCGATTTGGAATTGCTCTGGACTGAATGTGATGGGTTGGAGGCCTCCAGGCGCGTGGCACCGCGCTGATGTGGAAGCACGTGTTACGGGCACGTGATGACAACGCGAGCGTCGGCCACCCCGCGGTCCACTCGAGCTCGGACTGCGCCTTGCCTGCCGACCACGTGTACGCGCGACGCTGACCACGGAGATATGCGTGTTGTGAATATACGAATACCCCTATCGTCATATACGAGCGGAGCTCTGGCAGCATCCAACTGGCTTCAGTCTGCTGGTCCGCAATCCCGTGACGTCGTGACTCCGGTGTGTCTGGCGTCACGGCTAGAGAGGCTGTAGCGGGCAGGGCAGAAAGGCGGCCGCTTCAGGACGCCATCTGTTGGGAATCCCAGCGGACATCCCGGCGGCGGGCGGCGGACGATGGAACGGCCGTGGACGGATGCACACCAACAGGGGTCCGCACCGTCCGTGCTGGAAATGGCCATATGTTAGACGTCAGAAAAATATCCAGTGCTTGGTAACATATGAAAGATACCGGGAAACTACATGGACAGACTACTGCAGTGCCACGGTGCACCGTTCCAAAACAAGATGGTTTATAAGCAGTACGATATCGCGCACTGCTATGAACATCTATCTGGTACTCTTCCGGAAAGGCCTTATGCAGGTAGTAAACCGGGGTTGTTAGTGTGTATTATTCTGGATGTATGAATACCTCCACTGCATGGTGGGCTTTTTGCACGTGATTGGTTGAGGTGTTAGCCAGTGAGGTGGCCGGGCGCAACTACCCCGTGCTATGGGGGGGGGGGGGGGGGAGGGGTGACGATAATGCCGGTGATTACTTTCACCGATGTTTTTAACTCGACGTAGGTGTTGATGTCCACTTTTTCCAGAGGTGTGCTGTTTGGTTGTCAGCAGGATGCATACGTATTGCTTTTGTAATCAATCCATGTTCATGTTGTTTTTTCTCGGTCGCTCTATTTAATGTCAGATATTCCCGGAGGGAACGAATATACCTGACTAACTTACATGCCAGTGCCCCATGCTCAGCAGAAGGGCTAATTGAAAATGGAAAGACTCAGAAAATGGAGTCTTCCCTCAGCATCCATTGCATTTACTGAGGTTTCCTCTAACGCAGGAAAAGGAAGTGTGTAGCCTCTGTGACCTTCAATGAAATTGTTGCAAGCGCAAGGCTGCCGAGAAAGATAATTTCATAACACTGCTGATCACATGAGCTCTCCAAATAATCCCGGTGCGTTAATGTAGACTTCAACGAATTGGAACTAAAAGAAGGTAAGGGCCTAAAAGCAAAGCGTATGCAGACGTGAAACAGATGATCCTGCTTGCTTTGGTTGAACATGAACACACCGTTCCGTCGGTCGGAGTCCTGCAGATGCCACAGATGCACAGTATAGATGCCGAGACGGACTTCTGGGCTCGACCCGGGGTACCTCCTCCAGCAGACTGCGGCATGTTGGTCCAGAGTTTGTGACGTCATCACCCGAGCTTGCCACTAACGCAACAGAGCGCACAGCTGCGGGCCACGGTGTGCTGCGGGCTTCCGCGTGTTTGTCCAGAGCTTGTTACATCACGAGGCCACTGGCCAGTGACGTCACAGGCTCCCAGCTGCAGATCGCAGCATACAAGCAGCTCCAGTCCGCTGGCACCGAAACTATGACGTCATGACCCTGTTGTGTCTGAGACGTCACGGCCTGAAGCGGCCGCTTCAGGACGCCATCTGTTGGGAATCCCAGCGGACATCCCAGCGGCGGGCGGTGGCCGAGGGAACCCCGTGGACGAATACGCACCAACAGGGGTCTGAACGGTCCGGACTGGAAATGGCGATATGTTGGGATCTAACACTCGTTAACTTAGCACAGTGTAACCGGGCATGACAACAACAGACTACTTTAGTGCCACAAGGCACGACATCACTGAACCAAAATGTTGTTTACGCTGCCGCGATATTGACGCATCCGTGTTGAGCGTTCGTTATTGTGTGATGTGATGTTGGGTGCATTCAGCAGTTCAGCAGTTTGAAGCTATCCTTTGCTGGTCAAATGCTGATGCGTGAATTGCGGGTGCGATTCAACACCGTCATATTTGTTCACGTGCAGTTTAGTTTAGCGGACTACGTCAACGCATAGGTGATACTTTCCAGGAAAGGTCTTGCTGAAGAAGCGAGTTGTGTTTGTGATTGTGCATTATCCCATAAATATTGATGCAGACAGAATTGCTATTTTCAAGAATTTGTTGGGGCGCGCTGAGCCTATAAAGTTGATTTAATCTACCCCCCAAATCCTGATATATGCCGAATTTCGACCACTTGTATTCGCGTCCGCAATGCCATAATTAACCTAAAAAAGTTTGTTGGCTCCGAAACTGTTGTGACGTCAAAGAATGACATCCCGTTTTCAGCTGATGTGATGACGGTGATAAGATATGATGATAATGACGCCCATGGCGCATGATGTATTTAGGTTTTTAGGGTACCAGCAGGCTGTACACTTCCTGCATTTTATTTGCCTAGGATTCTCCTTTGTATTCATATGTATTGGGGTTGGGATGGGGCCCAGAAGAGCATTAAATGACTAAATTCAGCAGGGGGGGGGGTTGAGGCTAAAAGCTCACTAAAAAGGCTAAATTCAGCATCGGGGGAGGCTCAGGTGTCCCACGAAAGTGTACAATGTGACACCCCTGAATACAGACACAGCCTGGTCAGCTTTTCGCAGGTGGCAGGCTCATCTGTTAGCCGGTCAGGTGGCCAGGTGAGACTCTCCGGTGCTAGGGCAGGGTATCTGAGCTGGTGTACTTGTCACCCGGTGTGTCCGTCCTTGACCGGTGGTCCGTGTGTTGCCCGGTGCGGTCTCGTGTTCTTCGCGGCGGGCTGCGACTGTAGCCGATGTCTCCGCCGGCGCGTACAGGCGCCATCGTCAGCGGTTGGGAGGGCCCGCCGTGCCTGGGCGGGCTCCACCACGGCGTTGGGCGGGATGTGCCGCGTCTCATGCCTCTACAACGCCACAGATCAGCGACGGTACTGATTTCTTCAGCTTGGGTGTCCCTCAAGCGTTCTACGACAGCTAGCGTGGTTGTTTCTGTCCGTCTCGCAGAAAACACGAGGTCATATGCGTGCTGGTCGTGAAGCTTACGACGGTTGAGGCGCCACAGAATTTGTTCAGACATTTGCATGCTGAGTGGTTCACACAGTTTTATTGGCAACATATGAAGTTGGCAGAGGTGAAGCATGGGTATGACCTTATTGCATAACCGGACAAGTTCAATAGTCTCTATCACACATCAGTTCACAATAGCGGCGTGGAGGCCTGTGACGGTAACATCCCGACCCCACATGGTCAGCCGGTGGCCCCATTGACACAGGGTGACCAGCCTCACAGACGACTCCGTCCCGCCGGCCTTACAGCGTCTTCACGCCTCTTTCTGGAGTGCGACGACGGCGAACGTGAACTCGTCCTGCTCCAGCATGCCGTCGCCGTCTGTGTCGGCGTCTTCCAGGACGTAGCGCACGTGCTCGAGCTGCCGGTGTCCACTGAGCAGCGACGGCACCACCTCCAGGGCCTGCTGCTGCGTCAGCTGGCCGTTGCCGTCTGTGTCTTCGGCGCGGAAGGCGATGGGCACGACCTCGGCCGGCGGCGGCCCATTGGCGGCCTGCCGGAAGTCGGCCAGGTTGACGAAACCGTCGCCGTCGCCGTCCATGAGCGAGATGGTGTGCCGCACGTCGGCGACGCTGAGGTGCGGCCCGCCGGCCCGTATGATGGGCTCGAGCTCGGTCGGCGAGAGGCGGCCGTCGCCGTCGGCGTCCGACTGGTCCAGCATGCCCTGGAACGCCTGCTGCACCTCGTCGCCGTCGAGGCCCATGGGCATGGCGGCGCCCAGCGCGCCCGTCTGCGGGTGGAGGAAGCGCGTGAGAAGGGTGACGGTCTGGCTCTCCTCGCCGTCATCAGTACACGGCCTCACGCGGTCGGGAAGGTCGTCAGCGAGACACGTCTGGCAACACTTAACAGCCTGCGCAAGCAAACATCAGGTGCCGCTTTGACGGCAGCGCTCCGTGATTTGGCTCTGACGTCACACGGTCTCACTGCCCCGCCGTGGGTTGTCCACTCACCAGAGCGATGGCGGCGATCAGCTTCAGCATTGTGTTCGACTGTGTTCGGCTGGAACGGTCAGTGCAGATGCGCAGTATGCCGGTGTGAAGAATGCTTGGCAGACGGCCGCCGGCGCCCCGCCTTTATACGAATTGGTGGCCCGTCCGCCGGCAGCAGCAGCGGCGTCACCAGCAATGCAACGTTGGGGGTGACACGGGATACGGCAAGCTGGACTGTCACCCGCCCCGCCGTGACCCTGTGTCATAGCGTGAGCCACCGCGGTGTCAGATGTCAGGAGACGAGGGCGGGATCAGCGGCCGGCATGACCTGTCGGCCCCCAGAGCGACGCCGCTGGAGCCACTACTGCGCGGCCGACTGGCCCAGCTGCGTGACGTCACACTGCAGAGCCGTGCAGGATGGCGCGTGTTGGACGCAATTATATTTTACGGCCAGCAGACGTCGATGACCTCAGGGTGTCACCCTGAGCCCGGTGCCAGGACCTTTGACGGAGCTCAGAGGGTGTGCGGAGGATCAGAGATCCACGAATGGCACGTACCAGGCTAATCACGCCAACAAGTTGGTGACTGACCTGGAAGGTGATGCAGACTAGTGACGCGTCGATAATTTGCCGGTGCTGTGTTGTATGAAGTCGTCTTCCGTGCATCGGCGTTGAAGGCGTCTGTCTGCATTGTTAAAAGTTAGCCGTTGGTGGCTTCCCATATTTCTGCCGTAGGTTAGTTACTTGGAGGCAGACAATTTCATGATATTGCTTCTTGCGCGCAGGCTTCGCCGGATGAGTCTCCTCGGTTTTCAAGGTAACGCATAGTTACAACCATACGCTCTCTATTTGTCTGCAGTCCTGGAACTTGATCGATATAAACATCAATGGAATCCACCTGTTATTGACAGTAAAGTATTCGGGCAGTAGTTGCGGTCTTAGGTTTGCTATCGCTCGTATCTGGATATATAGGTGAGCAGGCCCTTTGATATTCAGTTTTCGAGAGGTGTAGTGTACTTGTCTGTGCTTCGTAAACCATGCAGTGCCGTCATAGGGACCAGCGCATGTGATGCCCTAAGTACGACCTGGCCTGAAGATGGTCCCGAACTGGTTCTCATACAGTGCATCTCTGCCCAGCCGAGTGCGCACACATCGTGGTTCCTCGTAACTGATAGACTCGGCAGCCACATGCATCTACGCGCGCCTGATGCGCCCCCTGGTTATAACACAGGGTAGGGGGGGGGGCTCACCCTACTAGCTCCACGCCTGATACGCTCCCCGAGTGTAACAGTGGGGGGGGGGGGGGGAGAGGGAGTCACCCTACTGGCTGCACGCCTGATGCGCTCCCTGGGTATAACACGGGAGGTCACCCTGCTAGCACCCCTGAGGAAGACAGTGGAACCACCGATGATGCCGGCGCTTGCTTTCAGCGGTGCTTGATGAACTCGACGTTGGTGTTGAAATCAGTGTTTTTTCAGAGGTACTCTGTTTGGTTGTCAGCATGATGCGGGTATGTTTCTCGAGCGGTCCATTCCTGTTGATGTTGTTTTCGTACCAATACTCTATTTATTGTTTGGAATATTCCTCCTAAAGCGCATAGCACCATCATCACATTCGGGGGTAGAAGGGGTGATAGTAACATAGGCGCAGTAGGCCTGTGCTCAGCAACAAAGCTTACTGAAAGAAGAAAGCTTAACAAAATATATTCTTCCCGCATCCGCCATTGGTTCCAATGTAACACGATGCAATCTAGGAAATAAGAATAGTTTGTTATCTACAGTGCTGTTGTATGATTTGTTCAGAAGTGCAAAGTTGCTGAGAACAAAGATAATCAGTAGTACTAGCATTATTCCTCGTGAAAAAGCAGGAGAATGGAGATATGGTTGGGTTGACATTTCGGCAATGTGCTTTTATCGAAACAATGGGAGGACCACTCGAAGAATTGTTTGAAACGCTCCTGCTATTGCTTCAATGAAGGCATGTTGCCGGCATATCAACATAACTGCCTTTCCATTCTCCTGATTTTTGGAGGAACAAGGCTAATTCTACCGTCTTATCTATGTGAGTATTGCTCCTCGCTAGTGCTTTGAACATCTCGCGTAAGATTGCCGAGAACGATGATTTCGTTTCACTGTTGGTCGTATCAGCTCTATACGTTACCACTGCGTGTGACAGTACACTAAAGACGTCGCGAAGCCACTCCAGCAGGCTGAACTACCTTCGCAAGCAGCCTGCAGCTAGTTACTCCAGAACTTGTGACGTCACAAATCCGCGGCGGCCGATAGAGCTATCTCCTCCAGCAGGCTGCGGCGTGTTTGTCCAGAGCTTGTGACGTCACAAGGTCACTGGTCGGTGACGTCACAGGCCCCTCAGTCGCAGGTCGCAGCATGCAGGCGGCTCCAGTCCGCTGGTCCTCAAACTTGTGACGTCATGACCTCGTTGTGTCTGTGACGTCACGGCTAGAGAGGCTGTAGCGGGCAGGGCGTAGAGGCGGCCGCTTCAGGACGCCATCTGTTGGGAATCCCAGCGGACATCCCGGCGGCGGCGACCGCCCAGGCAACCCCGTGGACGGATACACACCAACAGGGGTCTGCGCGGTCCGTGCAGGAAATGGCTATGTGTTCGGACCTGACACTCGCTAAGCCAACACAGTCTAACCGGGCATGACAACAGACTACCTTAGTGTCACAAGGCACGACATCACTGAACCCATGTTTTTTTCCTTCACGCTACCCGTGATGTTTACGCATCCCAGTTGAGCGTTCGTTATTGTATGCTGTGATGTTGGGTGCATTCAGGAGTTCAGCAGTTTGAAACTATGCTTTGCTGGTCAAATGCTTATACATGAATCGCGGGTGCGATTCAGCGCCGTCATATTTGTTCACGTCAGTTTAGTTTAGCGGACCCCCGTCAACGCATAGGTGGTACCCTCCGGGAAAGGTTAAATTGAAGAAGCGAGTTATGTTTGTAGTTGTGCGTTATTCCATACATATTGATGCAGACAGAATTGTTAATTTCGAGAATTTGTGGCGGTGGGCTGAGCCTATAGAGTTGATTTAGCCTACCCACAAATCCTGATGTATGCCGAATTCAGACCACTTATAATTGCGTTCGCGATGCTAGACTTGACATTACGAAGTTTGTTAGTTTCGAAACTGTTGTGACGTCAAAGAATGACATCCCGTTTTCAGTCGATGTGATAATGGTCATAATGTATGATGATAATGATGCCTGTGACAAGTGATGTATTTAGGTTTAAGGGTAGCAGCAGGTTGAACACTTGCTGCATTTTATTTCCGTAGGATTCTCCTTTGTACTCATATGCATTAAGGCTGGGATGGCGCCCAGAAGAGCGTTAAAGGACCAAATTCAGCGCGGGGGGGGGGCGGGCGGGAGGGGAGGGAGGGAGGCTAAAAGCCCATTGAGGAGGCCAAATTCAGCATCGGGGGAGGCTCAGGTCCCCCACAAAAGGACATAATGTGACACCCCTGAATACAGACACAGTCTGGTCAGCTTTTCGCAGGCGGCAGGCTCATCCGTTAGCCGGTCAGGTGGCCGAGTGCGACTCCCCGGCGCTAGGGCAGGGTATCTGAGCTGGTCTACTTTGTCACCAGGTGTGTCCGTCCTTGACCAGTGGTCCGTGTGTTGCCCGGTGCGGTCTCGTGTTCCCCGCGGCGGGCTGCGACTGTAGCCGATGTCTCCGCCGGCGCGTACAGGCGTCGTCAGCGGGTGGGAGGGCCCGCCGTACCTGGGCGGGCTCCACCACGGCGTTGGGCGGGATGTGCCGCGTCTCACGTTTCTACAACGCCACAGATCAGTGACGGTACTGAATTCTTCAGCTCGGGTGTGCCTCAAGCGGTGTACGACAGCTAGCGTGGCTGTTGTTGTCTGTCTCGCAGAAAACCCGAGGTCAGTTGCTTGCTGGTCGTGAAGCTTACGATGATTGAGGCGGCAGAGAAGTTGTTCAGGCATTAGAGCGGTTCGCGTGGTTTTATTGGCAAAATATGATGCTGGCACCGATGAAGCATGAGCATGACACATCGGTTTACAATAGCGGCTTCGAGGCCTATGGCGCTAACATCACGCACCCCACATCGTTAGCGGGCGGTCCCGTCGGCACAGGGTGACCGGCCTCACAGACGCTTCCGTCCAGCCGGCCTTACAGAGTCTTCACGCTTCTTTCTGGAGTGCGACGACGGCGAACGTGAACTCGTCCTGCTCCAGCATGCCGTCGCCGTCGGTGTCGGCGTCCTCCAGCACGTAGCGCACGTGCTCGAGCTGCCGGTGTCCACTGAGCAGCGACGGCGCCACCTCCAGGGCCTGCTGCTGCGTCAGCTGGCCGTTGCCGTCTGTGTCTTCGGCGCGGAAGGCGATGGGCACGACCTCGGCCGGCGGCGGCTCGTTGGCGGCCTGCCGAAAGTCGGCCAGGTTGACGAAGCCGTCGCCGTCGCCGTCCATGAGCGAGATGGTGTGCCGCACGTCGGCGGCGCTGAGGTGCGGCCCGCCGGCCCGTATGATGGGTTCGAGCTCGGCCGGCGAGAGGCGACCGTCGCCGTCGGCGTCCGACTGGTCCAGCATGCCCTGGAACGCCTGCTGCACCTCGTCGCCGTCGAGGCCCATGGGCATGGCGGCGCCCAGCGCGCCCATCTGCGGGTGGAGGAAGCGCGTGAGGAGAGTGACGGTCTGGCTGTCCTCGCCGTCATCAGTACACAGTCTCACGTGGTCAGAAAGGTCGTCAGCGAGACACGTCTGGCAACACTTAACAGCCTGCGTAAGCGAACATCAGGTGCCGCTTTGACGGCAGCGCTCCGTGATTTGGCTCTGACGTCACACGGTCTCACTGCCCCGCCGTGGGTTGTCCACTCACCAGGGCGATGGCGGCGATCAGCTTCAGCATTGTGCTCGACTGTGTTCGGCTGGAACGGTCAATGCAGACGCGCGGTGTGCCGGTGTGAAGGATGCTTGGCAGGCGGCCGCCGCGCCCCGCCTTTATACGAATTGGTGGCCCGTCCGCCGGCAGCGGCAGCGGCGTCACCAGGAATACGACGCTGGGGTTGACAGGGGGATACGGCGAGCTGGACTGCCACCCACCCTGTCATGACCCTGGGTAATAGGGTGAGCCCATCGCGGGGTCGGATGTCAGGAGACGAGAGCGGGGTCAGCGGCCGGCGTGACCTGTCGGCTCCCAGAGTGATGCCGCTGGAGCCACTACTGCGCGGCCGACTGGCCCAGCTGCGTGACGTCACACTGCAGAGCCGTGCAGGATGGCGCGTGTTGGACGCGATGATGTTTTACGGCCAGCAGACGTCGGTGACCTCAGGGTGTCACCCTGAGCCCGGTGTCAGGACCTTTGATGGAGCTCAGAGGGTGTGCAGAGGATCAGAGATCCACGAATGGCACGTGCCAGGCTAATCACGCCAATAAGTTGGTGACTGGCCTGGAAGGTGATGCAGACTAGTGAGTCGTCGAGGATTTGCCGGTGCTGTGTTGTATGACGCCGTCTTCCGTGCATCAGCATTGAGGACGCCTGCCTGCATTGTTTAAATTTAGCCGTCGGTGGTTCCCCATATTTCCGCCTGAGTTAGTTCATTGGAGGCAGACAATTTCATCATATTCCTCACAGAGCGCAGGTTAACCTGACGGCTATCTCTGGTTTTCAAGATAGCGCATAGTTGCAACCATACGCTCTCAATTTGTCTGCACTGCTAGAACTTGATTGATATGAACATCGATGGAGTCCTCCTGTTATTGATAGTGAGTTATTTGGGTAGTGGTTGTG